AAACATCTTCACAATATCTACCTTGAGACAATAAGAGTGTTCATCTTATCATTTATCTTGGCTGTGAGGCAGAAATTATGCCCCTTGCCTTAACTCTCAGACCTTGTGCCTCTTGCTAACATGTTTCCTGTCCTTTGGTTCCAAGTCTAACCTATCTCGATTATAATTCCTCTCAGACAGTGAAATTTCTGAGAAGCTGTCACCTGGAGGTGGGGATGAAGAACAATGTGAAATGGGAGCTAAACCCTGAAATAGTTGCCCGCCACTTCTTCAAAAATGTGAGTTTTCCCAAACACCACTGGACCCCTGAGGGTAGAAGCTACCCCTGGGAAGGATGCCCAGTATTGATCTTTTTGTTAGGAAAGGGTATGTTCATCCAGCTGGAGTTACGGAAAGTGTTCTTTGTTGGTTTGCAGGGGTGTGGGAAAGAAATGGCTAAGAACTAAGTGTGGTCATATAGAATTTGAAGATGGATAGGAAAGGATTGTGGTATCATTTATTTTCTCTCTAGAGAGAGAGGAAAACTGAGGAAATGTGACCTGCCAGAGAATTTTTACTTTTGTAAATGAAGTGATTTTGGTTTCAAGCCTTATTTCCCTTTGTGAATCACCTTCCTCTCTGAGAAATTAGGACAGTTTCTCTGCCATGATCTTTGGAGGTCTGTGCCCTTACATGAAATCACCCAGGGTAAACTCCCCAGTTTTATTTATGCCACTACAAGAAAGTCTAGAACTTTGAGGTTGCCTGCAGTAGCATGTAAACAGCTCCTTTTGACTGTAATGTTTTACAGCTTGGTGTTGTGGTCGCCACACATGCATTAAAGTTACCAGAAGGGCCCATTACACAATGGGGCGAGTACTGGTGTGAGGTGACGGTGAGTGTTTCATGTACTGGCTCCTTTTTTTTGACTGGGTTAAAAGCTGCAATTGGGTGGTGTTAGCCATTATCTGCCCAACTGATCTCTGAGGATTCCTGTTGTTTTATGTACAGGTAAATGGGCTTGACACTGTGAGAGTACCAATGTCTGTGGTGAACTTTGAGAGGCCCAAGACCAAAAGACGCAAGTACTGGTTAGCCCAGCAAGCTGCCAAAGGAATGTCCCCCACTGGCTCCCAGATGATCTGATCCTATTCTCCCTGAAAAGCAGCAAAGCAGAATCAAAGGAACAGTGGAGCAAAGATGGGCGAACATCCTGATAGCACACCTTGCTTTAATCAAATATGAAATTTCAGAGAGCATATGGGGACATCAGACTAAACTGCGTATACATGTTGAATTCTATTTGCCGTCTCCAACTTCAACTGTTAGTGTATCTGGCCTTCTAGGGCAATCCTGCTGAAGTACCAGGTTGTATATTTGATAAGCTGAATATTAATAGACCAAAATGGTCTAGATCCTTTTTAGCCTCTTTCTCCATTGCAATTCATTAGAACAAATTGAAGAGCCAGCCATTGTCTCCACTATTTGGCTCTGTCTTGTCACCCAATCTGAACATTTCTATTTTGAGAAGAAATAAAGAGATTGTATTCTTTTTAGGTGTTATTTACTGGGCTTGAGTAGATGGGACTGGACATCCATGTGGGAAGTCCTCTTTAGCCACTCGGGTTTCATGCTAAAAAGGAAGAAAGAAGAAAGACATTTGCATTCTGGAAGAAAAATATGGCAGAGTAAACATGCTCACAGATCTACAGAAAAATATTCAAGATTTCAGGGAGGACTTTAACAAAGAAAAGACCAGAAAAAGGCACTCAAAGCTGAAGAATACAGTATCTGAAATGAAATGTACAATGGAGGGATTTTAGAATAGATTATTATGGGTTGAAAGGCAAGGCAGAAACCTCCCCCAAATGCATAAAACACAAAAATACAGCAAATACAACTAGACTTGAAGACTGCAGAACAGACTACCTTCATCTGGGGAAGAAGACCACACGCAAAGGGTAAAGTGGCAAAGCTGAGATCAAGCGGGACCCAAGTCTTCCATCACTCCAGCCTACAGGCAGAAGAAAGAGGAATGGAGTGGGGAGGGGCTAGGAGCCCAGGATTCTGAACAGCTGGTCCTGGAGATCTGCTCTGGGAGCATGAGCCCCCATGACATGGGGTTCTGGTGACTGGTGAGGCTGGACATCAAGGACAGGTGGAACACTGGGAGGCTGAAATCCACCTGCTTGTGGAGAACAGGCATACTCTACCAATCCCCTAAGAAGAACGCAAAGCAGGCAGATTGAAAGACTTCCCAGAAATGGGAGGAGTGCCAGAGGGGCAACTACTGGGTGGAGCTCTCTTTTCAGGAGAAAGGGCAGGTGGACAATACCTCCCCAGCCCTCCCTCAGCCCAACAGGTTGGGAACTCGGGAGCCTGAGATGATCCACCCCCATCGCACGCAACACAGCCCCGAGGCTCCTCCCTGCATGTGCTGCTGGCAGGCAATCCACTTGGCCAAGCAGTAGGGACAGACTTTGCTGCATAGCAGGCAGAGGGAGCCTCTCCCAGATTCCTCAGCTCTGTTTTAGCCCAACCACAGAGGTGCCTGCAGGAACCAGTCCCAAGAGCCCCCAACCCAGAGGTATCCAAGCCCGGTGCTGTGCATCAGGCCCAGGCAAAGCCATGCATCAGGCCACCCACCCTATTAAGTCTACAGCCCTCCTATTGCTGCAGGCCAACCAGAGGGTGGCCATGCCCACAGCAATTCCAGCAGAAACTTGTGCACTGATCACAAAGGCACAGCCAAAACAAACTGCCCACCCAGACAGACCACTACAGAAGCCAGACAGAATGGCGGCCCCACCCACTGCATGCCAACAGCTGGGGCTCCCGCACTGAAGAGTGAAGAGTTGTGGCACCAGAGGACACCTTCATAAAGCTATTACTCCATAGGCAGGGAAGCATAGCAGAGCCATCTAATACAAACAAACAGAAACCCTGACGAAATGAGAAGGCAGAAGAATATGTTTCAAACGAAATTACAAGACACCACAAAGAGGACTAAATGAAACATCACCAATCTTCTTGATAAAGATTTCAAAGTAAAATCATAAATATGCTCACAGATCTACAGAAAAATATTCAAGATTTCAGGGAGGACTTCAACAAAGAAAAGACCAGAAAATAGGACTCAAAGCTGAAGAATACAGTATCTGAAATGAAATGTACAATGGAGGGATTTTAGAATAGATTATTATGGGTTGAAGAAGCTGTGAATGAAGTGGAAATTAGGGAACCGGAAAACAAGCTGAAGAACAGAAAAGGATCTCTAGGAAAGAAAGAATAATAAGAGCTGTGTGACCAATCTAAATGGAACAATATTCACATATGAGGGGTACCAGAAGGAGAAGAGGGAGACATGGTTAGAAAGTCTCTTAGGAAATAATTGTTGAAAACTTCCCCAATCTGGGGAAGAAAATAGACACTCAGGTCATGGAAGTTCAGGGAGCCCCTAACAAAAGGAACCCCAGGAAGACAACACCAAGACACAAAAATAATTTAAATGGCAGAACAGGATTAAAGATGGCTGCATGAGAGGTGAGACAGTGACCTACTCCTAAAATGACATATAATACAAAAATATAATTAATAGAGCTAATCCGGAAAGAGTAACAGGAAAGAAGGTTGCACCAGACTGCATACACCTGGAGAAAAGAGCAGACTTCATGGAACAGGGTAACATACCAAAGCGGTGACCCGGGAGGACCCAAACCCTTCCCCCACCCCACATCACTGGTGGGAGGAAGAGAAACAGTGGGGAGTAGAGGCCTGGGACTGCTGAACACCTACCCTTGGAGGTCTGCTTTGGGAGCACGAACCTACATTGCATGGTGCTCTTGTGATTAGTGGGGTGAGAAAGCTAAGAGGTGGAATACCTGGAGAGACAGAGATTCCAACTACTTGTGGAAAACAGGAATTCACATGCGGCTAAGCTGGGCAGGCAGTCTGAGAGACTTCATGACAGCTAGAGGGCTTCTAAAGGGGCAAGGATTGCACAGAGCTTAGTGCACAGGAGAAAGGACAGGTAGACAAAATTGTTGGGGTGCACTCTGCCCAACAGGTTGGGAACTTAAACGATCATCAGGTGCTCCATCCCCCTGGCTGTCTATGCAGCTCCAAGGCCCCCCACTATGATACGCAACCTGCTGTGTCTTCCAGCCAGCCTGCACCTGGCTCACAAACCAGCTGCTGCTGCCCTGGTAGCAGGACAGCCAGAGGGAAGCCCCACCTATGGCAGCTACAAACACAAACCATAGAGGTTTATACCTGTGTGTTCAGTCCATTGGTTCTGGCAGTGGAGACAGGCAAAACAGCCAGGAAACAGGAACCAGCTCTTTCCTCCCCCTAGGTATCAGCAGCACTCCCCTGCAACCCCTGATGTAGCTCCAGGGGCTGAGTAGCTCCAAACAGTAGAGCTTCTGGGCACCAGAGGGTGCCACATACAAATATGAAACATCAAAGGAACCTGGTTCAAAATCTCAACACCAGAGAAAGGACCAAGTAAGACTGAATTATTAAATCTTCCTGAAAGATTTCAAAATAAAAATCATTTACGTGCTCATGGAGGTACAGAACAATATTCAAGAACTCAGAAACAAATTTAGGATGGAGATCCAATGGTTGAAGAGCACAATGGAGAGTATTAAAACCAGATTTGATACAGTGGAGGAGACAATAAGTGAAATAGAAATTAGGGAAGAGGAATACAAAGAAGCTGAGGCACAGAGAGAAAAAAGGGTCTCTAAGAATGAAAGAATACTGAGAGAACTGTGACCAATCCAAGCAGAACAATATTCGTATTATGTGAGTACCAGAAGAAGAAGAGAAAGAAAAAGGGATAGAAAGTGTCTTTGAGGTGGTAATTGCTGAAAACTTCCCCATGCCTTATTTCCCTTTGTGAATCACCTTCCTCTCTGAGAAATTAGGACAGTTTCTCTGCCATGATCTTTGGAGGTCTGTGCCCTTACATGAAATCACCCAGGGTAAACTCCCCAGTTTTATTTATGCCACTACAAGAAAGTCTAGAACTTTGAGGTTGCCTGCAGTAGCATGTAAACAGCTCCTTTTGACTGTAATGTTTTACAGCTTGGTGTTGTGGTCGCCACACATGCATTAAAGTTACCAGAAGGGCCCATTACACAATGGGGCGAGTACTGGTGTGAGGTGACGGTGAGTGTTTCATGTACTGGCTCCTTTTTTTTGACTGGGTTAAAAGCTGCAATTGGGTGGTGTTAGCCATTATCTGCCCAACTGATCTCTGAGGATTCCTGTTGTTTTATGTACAGGTAAATGGGCTTGACACTGTGAGAGTACCAATGTCTGTGGTGAACTTTGAGAGGCCCAAGACCAAAAGACGCAAGTACTGGTTAGCCCAGCAAGCTGCCAAAGGAATGTCCCCCACTGGCTCCCAGATGATCTGATCCTATTCTCCCTGAAAAGCAGCAAAGCAGAATCAAAGGAACAGTGGAGCAAAGATGGGCGAACATCCTGATAGCACACCTTGCTTTAATCAAATATGAAATTTCAGAGAGCATATGGGGACATCAGACTAAACTGCGTATACATGTTGAATTCTATTTGCCGTCTCCAACTTCAACTGTTAGTGTATCTGGCCTTCTAGGGCAATCCTGCTGAAGTACCAGGTTGTATATTTGATAAGCTGAATATTAATAGACCAAAATGGTCTAGATCCTTTTTAGCCTCTTTCTCCATTGCAATTCATTAGAACAAATTGAAGAGCCAGCCATTGTCTCCACTATTTGGCTCTGTCTTGTCACCCAATCTGAACATTTCTATTTTGAGAAGAAATAAAGAGATTGTATTCTTTTTAGGTGTTATTTACTGGGCTTGAGTAGATGGGACTGGACATCCATGTGGGAAGTCCTCTTTAGCCACTCGGGTTTCATGCTAAAAAGGAAGAAAGAAGAAAGACATTTGCATTCTGGAAGAAAAATATGGCAGAGTAAACATGCTCACAGATCTACAGAAAAATATTCAAGATTTCAGGGAGGACTTTAACAAAGAAAAGACCAGAAAAAGGCACTCAAAGCTGAAGAATACAGTATCTGAAATGAAATGTACAATGGAGGGATTTTAGAATAGATTATTATGGGTTGAAAGGCAAGGCAGAAACCTCCCCCAAATGCATAAAACACAAAAATACAGCAAATACAACTAGACTTGAAGACTGCAGAACAGACTACCTTCATCTGGGGAAGAAGACCACACGCAAAGGGTAAAGTGGCAAAGCTGAGATCAAGCGGGACCCAAGTCTTCCATCACTCCAGCCTACAGGCAGAAGAAAGAGGAATGGAGTGGGGAGGGGCTAGGAGCCCAGGATTCTGAACAGCTGGTCCTGGAGATCTGCTCTGGGAGCATGAGCCCCCATGACATGGGGTTCTGGTGACTGGTGAGGCTGGACATCAAGGACAGGTGGAACACTGGGAGGCTGAAATCCACCTGCTTGTGGAGAACAGGCATACTCTACCAATCCCCTAAGAAGAACGCAAAGCAGGCAGATTGAAAGACTTCCCAGAAATGGGAGGAGTGCCAGAGGGGCAACTACTGGGTGGAGCTCTCTTTTCAGGAGAAAGGGCAGGTGGACAATACCTCCCCAGCCCTCCCTCAGCCCAACAGGTTGGGAACTCGGGAGCCTGAGATGATCCACCCCCATCGCACGCAACACAGCCCCGAGGCTCCTCCCTGCATGTGCTGCTGGCAGGCAATCCACTTGGCCAAGCAGTAGGGACAGACTTTGCTGCATAGCAGGCAGAGGGAGCCTCTCCCAGATTCCTCAGCTCTGTTTTAGCCCAACCACAGAGGTGCCTGCAGGAACCAGTCCCAAGAGCCCCCAACCCAGAGGTATCCAAGCCCGGTGCTGTGCATCAGGCCCAGGCAAAGCCATGCATCAGGCCACCCACCCTATTAAGTCTACAGCCCTCCTATTGCTGCAGGCCAACCAGAGGGTGGCCATGCCCACAGCAATTCCAGCAGAAACTTGTGCACTGATCACAAAGGCACAGCCAAAACAAACTGCCCACCCAGACAGACCACTACAGAAGCCAGACAGAATGGCGGCCCCACCCACTGCATGCCAACAGCTGGGGCTCCCGCACTGAAGAGTGAAGAGTTGTGGCACCAGAGGACACCTTCATAAAGCTATTACTCCATAGGCAGGGAAGCATAGCAGAGCCATCTAATACAAACAAACAGAAACCCTGACGAAATGAGAAGGCAGAAGAATATGTTTCAAACGAAATTACAAGACACCACAAAGAGGACTAAATGAAACATCACCAATCTTCTTGATAAAGATTTCAAAGTAAAATCATAAATATGCTCACAGATCTACAGAAAAATATTCAAGATTTCAGGGAGGACTTCAACAAAGAAAAGACCAGAAAATAGGACTCAAAGCTGAAGAATACAGTATCTGAAATGAAATGTACAATGGAGGGATTTTAGAATAGATTATTATGGGTTGAAGAAGCTGTGAATGAAGTGGAAATTAGGGAACCGGAAAACAAGCTGAAGAACAGAAAAGGATCTCTAGGAAAGAAAGAATAATAAGAGCTGTGTGACCAATCTAAATGGAACAATATTCACATATGAGGGGTACCAGAAGGAGAAGAGGGAGACATGGTTAGAAAGTCTCTTAGGAAATAATTGTTGAAAACTTCCCCAATCTGGGGAAGAAAATAGACACTCAGGTCATGGAAGTTCAGGGAGCCCCTAACAAAAGGAACCCCAGGAAGACAACACCAAGACACAAAAATAATTTAAATGGCAGAACAGGATTAAAGATGGCTGCATGAGAGGTGAGACAGTGACCTACTCCTAAAATGACATATAATACAAAAATATAATTAATAGAGCTAATCCGGAAAGAGTAACAGGAAAGAAGGTTGCACCAGACTGCATACACCTGGAGAAAAGAGCAGACTTCATGGAACAGGGTAACATACCAAAGCGGTGACCCGGGAGGACCCAAACCCTTCCCCCACCCCACATCACTGGTGGGAGGAAGAGAAACAGTGGGGAGTAGAGGCCTGGGACTGCTGAACACCTACCCTTGGAGGTCTGCTTTGGGAGCACGAACCTACATTGCATGGTGCTCTTGTGATTAGTGGGGTGAGAAAGCTAAGAGGTGGAATACCTGGAGAGACAGAGATTCCAACTACTTGTGGAAAACAGGAATTCACATGCGGCTAAGCTGGGCAGGCAGTCTGAGAGACTTCATGACAGCTAGAGGGCTTCTAAAGGGGCAAGGATTGCACAGAGCTTAGTGCACAGGAGAAAGGACAGGTAGACAAAATTGTTGGGGTGCACTCTGCCCAACAGGTTGGGAACTTAAACGATCATCAGGTGCTCCATCCCCCTGGCTGTCTATGCAGCTCCAAGGCCCCCCACTATGATACGCAACCTGCTGTGTCTTCCAGCCAGCCTGCACCTGGCTCACAAACCAGCTGCTGCTGCCCTGGTAGCAGGACAGCCAGAGGGAAGCCCCACCTATGGCAGCTACAAACACAAACCATAGAGGTTTATACCTGTGTGTTCAGTCCATTGGTTCTGGCAGTGGAGACAGGCAAAACAGCCAGGAAACAGGAACCAGCTCTTTCCTCCCCCTAGGTATCAGCAGCACTCCCCTGCAACCCCTGATGTAGCTCCAGGGGCTGAGTAGCTCCAAACAGTAGAGCTTCTGGGCACCAGAGGGTGCCACATACAAATATGAAACATCAAAGGAACCTGGTTCAAAATCTCAACACCAGAGAAAGGACCAAGTAAGACTGAATTATTAAATCTTCCTGAAAGATTTCAAAATAAAAATCATTTACGTGCTCATGGAGGTACAGAACAATATTCAAGAACTCAGAAACAAATTTAGGATGGAGATCCAATGGTTGAAGAGCACAATGGAGAGTATTAAAACCAGATTTGATACAGTGGAGGAGACAATAAGTGAAATAGAAATTAGGGAAGAGGAATACAAAGAAGCTGAGGCACAGAGAGAAAAAAGGGTCTCTAAGAATGAAAGAATACTGAGAGAACTGTGACCAATCCAAGCAGAACAATATTCGTATTATGTGAGTACCAGAAGAAGAAGAGAAAGAAAAAGGGATAGAAAGTGTCTTTGAGGTGGTAATTGCTGAAAACTTCCCCAATCTGGGGAAGGAGATAGTCTCTCAGACCATGGAGGTCCACAGATCTCCCAATACAAGGGACCCAAGGAAGATGACACGAACATATAATAATGAAAATGGCAAAGAACAAGGAAAACAACAGACTATTAAAAGCAACCAGAGAGAGAAGTAAGATCACATACAAAGGAAAACACATCAGGCTATCATCACACTTCTCAGCAGAAACCTTACAGGCCAGAAGGGAGTGGCATGATATATTTAATGCAATGAAGCAGAAGGGCCTCGAGCCAAGAATACTTTATCCAGGAAGATTATCATTTAAATTTGAAGGAGGGATTAAACGATTTCCAGATAAGCAAAAGCTGAGAGAATTTAGCTCCCACAAACCATCTCTACAGTGTATTTTGGAGGGACTGCTGTACATGGAAGTGTTCCTAAGGTTAAATAGCTGTCACCAGAGGTAATAAAAAGGGATAGACAAAGAGTACAGAATATAAGACCTAATATATAAAGAGTGGAGGGGGGGGGAAGAACCTTTAGATTGTGTTTGTAATAGCATACTGAGTTAAGTTAGACTCTTAGGTAGTAAGGAAGCTACCCTTGAACCTTTGGTAACCACGGATCTAAAGCCTGCAATAGCAATAAGAACATACCAATTGATAATCACCCTAAATATAAATGCTCTGAATGCACCAATCAAGACATAGAGTCACTGAATAGATAAAAGAACGAGACCCACCTATACGCTGCCTACAAGAGACTCACTTCAAACCCAAAGACATACACAGACTAAAAGTGAAGGGATGGAAAAAGATATTTCATGCAACTAATAGGGGTAAAAAAGCAGGTGTTGAAGTACTTGTATCAGACAAAATACACTTTAAAACAAAGAAAGTCACAAGAGACAAAGATGGAAATTACATAATGATAAAGGGGTCAATCCAACAAGAGGGTATAACCATTATAAATATCTGCATGCAACACAGGAGCACCTACGTATGTGAAACAAATACTAACAGAATTAAAGGGGAAATAGAATGCAATGCATTCATTATAGGATACTTCAACACTCCACTAACTTCAAAGGACAGATCAGCCAGACAGAAAATAAGACAGAGGCACTGGACAACACATTAGAACAGATGGACCTAACAGACATCTACAGAACTCTCCACCCAAAAGCAGCAGGATACACATTTCTCTCAAGTGCACATGGAACATTTTCCAGAATAGATCACATACTAGGCCACGAAAGGAACCTCAGTAAATTCGAAGAGATTAAAATTCTACCAACAAGCTTCTCAGACCACAAGGTTGTGACACTAGAAATAAATTACGCAAAGAAAACCAAAAAGCCTACAAATACATGGAGGCTTGACAACATGCTCCTAAACAATCAATGGATCAATGACCAAATAAAAACAGATCAAGCAATATATGGAGACAAATGACAACAGTGATTTAGCAATGCAAAATCTGTGGGATGCAGTGAGGGTGGTGCTAAGAGGGAAGTATATTGCAATACAGGCCTACCTCAGGAAAGAACAACAATCCCAAATGAACAGTCTAAACAATGAAACTAGAAAGAGAACAAATGAGGCCCAAAGTCAGTAGAAGGAGGGACATAATAAAGATAAGAGCAGAAATAAATAAAATCAAGAAAGAATCAATGAAAGCAGGAGCTGG